CTAAAAGGGCCCCGAAAAGGGTCCGCCGGCGGCACGGCGCGCCAAAGGGAAGGGGTTGGACGGCCTGGACCGCTGGCGAGGAAGTTTTCCGAAGAAGGGAGTTCCCCTGGACGCGCCAGGGCGTTGCAGCGTTGCAAGGAGAGCGCGGCGTGGCGTGGCGGGTACCGCGCGACGGCCAGGCCAGGCGTGCCAGGCGTGGTCGAACAGTGTTCCAGTGCAGTAGGCCCATCCCGCGGGCACACTGCACACGGCACACGCACCGAGGGAGGGGCCCGTCCGCGAGCAGGCAGGCCAGGCAGGCAGGCCGCCCACGGGGCGCGGCAGACTCCTTCCGAGAGTCGGTTACGTCGCGCTGTCTCTCTCGCACTCATGGGGCGTGCCGTGGAGGTGCGAGAGAGACAGAGCGACGAATCAGTCCGCGGCTCGGCGCAGACCGCGCGGCAGGTTAGGTTAGGTCCACGATGTGTCCACGCGACTCCAGCACGGCGAGCCAGCCAGGCAAGCCCCCCGAAGCCCATAAAACTCGCTGTGGACGACGGCAGCCTCCGTCCGTCCAGGCCGTCCAGGCAGTGTGCTGTCCATGCAGCAGCATGCAGCCATATGGAGGCTGGCTCGCCCCGCCGCCGCGAACCTACATTCCTAGGCGGGAATGCGCGCGTCCTGCAGCACGAGAAAGGGCCTTACCCCGCGCGGGGCGTCGCTCTGTCTCTCTCGCACTCGGCCAGAGAGACAGGGGCAGTCTGCAGCTCGGCCGTCGTTGCCCAATGTCCAGGGTGGCCCGCGGCGTGCGTGGAGCGCGTGGACCGCGGCGGCACGACACCCGAATTCAAATTCAATCCCAGGATTGGCTTGTGGTCACTCTAGTCGCGGCGGTCGGTGCGCCCCGCGCCGCGCGACGCGGACGGCGGCCCCGCTCGCCACAGTTGAGGGGGCGTGCGACTCCCCGCCCCGCCCCGCCCCACGCAGCGCGCCATGAGGTAACACGCGAGTGGGTACAATGTGCAATCGCACACACGCGTCCTATCAATACACGACCGCGGCACTTGCACTTCCATATCGTGGGGCGCAAACACGTCGCTCCGTCTCTCTCGCACCCGCACGGGACGATGGGGCGGCCGAGAGAGTGCGAGAGAGACAGACACCGGGCGCTGACCGGGCCGCGCTCCCCTAATAGGCCGGAGCCTTCACTTTCGACCAGGGCGTGGCGGGGCGGGGCGGGGCGGGGCGGCCACCGCGCCGCCAGACCGCCACACCGCCAGGCCGACGTAGCCGGGGTTTTGGCGCGAGCCGAGCCGCTTTCCCTGCAGGGCCTGCACTGGTAGCGCCTGCACTGGTAGCGACGCCACCCGCAGAACACCGACGGGACGGACAGAGCGCTCCGCTTCAGTGCGAGCGAGAGACAGAGCGTCCGCGGTTTGGCCCTTTGGGCCCATCGCGGCGCGGTGCGCGCGGCGTGCGTGGTGGTGCACTCGTCCGCCTGGACCGGGAGCGCGGCGCGAGGCGCGAGGCTCGCGGCGAAGAGGTGGCCGACGGGCCGACCACATTCCGACCGCGTGCACTGATTCACAGCCAGCGCGGCGCAGGCGTAGCGCAGGCGCGCCCGGAGAAAGTAGAGTGAGCATAAAAATGAAAATGAAAATGAATAGCGATCTCATCGACTCGGCGGAAACCGACGGACGGCAGTGCCGCGACCCTGCTGCAGTCCGCAGTGGGACGCCGCCACCCGGCCTCCCCCGCCCCGCGGCGGCCCACTGCGAACAGTGCCTCTCCGTCTCTCTCGCACTCATGTCGGGCCGTAGGGGTGCGAGAGAGACGGAGCGACGGAGCGACTCCGCGGAACGGCTCGGCAGGTTGCCGACGACGACACTAGAGCCGCGTGCGACTCCAACTCCTTCGCACTGGTGCGCGAAGCTGCGGAGCGGCTAGGGCGGCCGGCCAGCGCGACACGAGGAGGAGGCGAAGTTCAACGACACCGAACTGCAGAGTCGTTTTCGTCGCTCCGTCTCTCTCGCACCCATACGGGGCGCCCCGTGAGTGCGAGAGAGACAGAGCGACGGAATGGCTGTGCTGGACCACCAGTTGGATGCGCAACATCACGCGTGCAACAGGTCCGCGGTGCAGCGAGGCGCCGCGCGCCGCTCCACGCCGCGCGTGCTGGCAGTGTGCTGGCAGTGCTGGCAGGGGCGCCAGGCGTGCCCGAGCGAAGCGGCTAACAGTGTACAAGCAACATTTCAAACAATTTCCTTCGCCTCATCCCGCGGCGCGCCGTGCCACGGCGTGTGTTTACGTGGCTGCCACGTACAGCGCACCGCCGCGACGCTGCGTGACCGCCACGCCGCGCCAGGCCCCACCGCGGACCGCTCTGGGCAGTAAGGGCCTTATAAAGACTTGTTCCTGGTGTCAGCCAGCTGGCCGCCGCACGTAGCCGCACGCAGCACGACGCGCCGCCGCGTCCAGGAATCCAGAGACATCCCCGCGACGTCGACAACAACAACAACAGCATGCGCGCGTTACTGGACTTGCCGCCAGGCCAGGGCAGAGCCGGCAGCGCCGCGCAGAGAAAGGGGCGAGCGACGCAATTGGCGGCGCGGGGATTCGAACCCGGGGCCGCCGATCTCTCTCCCTCTCCCGGGATGACACCGTGATTTACTTTGGGTCAATGCAGCCAGCCGTGTCTGCCTCTTCCCCGGCGGGTCCCCGGCGGCCAAGTCAAGCGTTGGCATGACGGATGGCGCGCTCGCCGAGGACCGCGAGGACCCCGTCGACCCGAACGGAAAATGAAACGAAATGGAGACGACGACGACGCCGCCGTCGGCGCGCCGTGAACCAGTTTTCACACTTTTTCCACGGGGCAGGCCGACGACGGCGTCGCGCGGCGGGGGTCAACCTGGAGGACGACGTCCCCGGGCTGCCCGATGACGTCACGCCGGTGAAGGACCCCGTGGCCGCGCTGCGGGGCAGGTCGCCGACGTCGCCGACGAGGAACATCGCACAGTGTGCCGGCTGCGCATCGACTGCACCAAAGCAGGGCAAGACGTGCTCGTGGGTGTTCCGCGGAACGCTTTCCAGGGCCATTTGTTATTTTTATGCTTTCAATAATCCGCGGGCAGGGCAGGGCCGTCGCCAAAAATGACCTCCGGCTGACCTAGCCTCCTCCACCCATCACAGCTGGCCCGGGTTCCTCCAGCCGCCCTCCCCTTGCCCCTCCCCGTCGCCGCGGCCGCGCTCCGCGCTCAGACGCCCACAGCTGGCCCCGGCCCGCCGCGCCGCCGCGCCGCGCTCTCGGCCAGCTCGCGGACGTTTCCCAAACCGAACGTCCACCAAAGCACACCAGGCGAGGCCGTCGATGGCAGCGGGAACGCCCCCAGCCCTCAGCCCTTTGGGGCCCTGGGCTACCCTACCCTGGGGCGCGCGGCTACCCGTCGAGACCCTTCTCCCTTCGGCTGCCTTTGGCACCTTTAGCCGGCCAGCTGCAGCGTCCCTTCCCTTCCCTGCCCCCGTCGCAGCGGGGAAGGCGAGGCTGGGCAAGGCGGAGACAATGCCGGCATCGCCTCAAGCTCCAAGCTGCCGGGCCGGGCCCTCTGCCGCTGTGGGAAGCGCCAAGCGCGCTACGGGTCAGGGACAAACATTTCGGGGGGGAAGGGTGGAGGGGGCTGTTGTCCCTAGCGCTGCACAGCTACCACCAGGGGTGAGATTAGGTGAGATGGTCGCTGGCTGCACAGCGGTGCGCTGCAGTGCGCAGCAGCAGGGTGCACCCGGTGCACCGCGCCCAGGAGTCGGGTCGGCGCGGCCAGCCTGGTGCAGCCTGGTGCAGCCCTTCGCGTCCAGGTGACCGTCGCGTCGGCAGCAGATGGTGCGGCGGCGGCGTTCGGACGACGTCCCTGTGACGTCACGCCACGGGCAGCATGGGCAGCGAGGCCGCCACGCCTTCGCTGCCCCCCCCCTTTTTTTCCCCTCTCTTTCCCCATCCCGAGGCAAAGGGTGCAGGGAGTGCAGGGGACAGGGACGCTCTGGCCGCTCGAACTCTCAATTCAGATAAAAATGACACTCTCGAACAAAATTGGGCCAGCTAGACGGAAATGAGATGCAAGGATCCACACACCCGAAAACATGACAAAACAAAACCATGAGCTAGTTTTCCTGGACCATGCCTGAGAACACATGATTTTGAGCAACAAAATATTTGATCAGAGCAAATAGCAGTATTAATTACTCAATACTTGTGCCGCAACCTTGCACTTAGAACTACCTACATACAATGCAAGAGATACTGAAACAAATAAACAAATCAAGACTACCATACTTATATAGCATGATTAGGTGAACGTAAAACATATGTAAACATTGGCAAATCCTTGCCTTTAAGTACATCAAGAGCATTCTCAAATTTTTGAGATATTACAATTATCTAGCAGACTAAAATTTCAGGAAGAATTGACTTGCCTATTGAAGGAAATGGACAATGAGTTGGCAAGTGCCATTAATATTTTCTTCCAAAAACAATGTATGAATCCATTATTTTTGAATGACATGTATAATAACAATAAGCAAGGAAATGTATGGAGAACATTCTTTAACCACCACAATGAAAAACAAACAAAAGGGAGTAGGGAGTAAATACTACCCAGTGAATTGACACAGATACTTGCAAAAATGCCTGTTTGTGGTAAATTAAAAGTACTAACATAACCTCTGCAGGTAAATGGATTCAATTGGAGAAGCAGTGCTTCCAGAGTAAAATGAATGTCAGCTATTGAATAATATTTATAAAAACTTAAGAAAAGTACTCAGTAGAAGAGAAACTCGATCCAAAGATGTACTCAAAGTAGCTTGTTTTGGTCACACATGAAAACTCTTGCACCTGACCTGCTTTTGGCACACACATCTTGATGAATGAAAAAGAAGTATGGCATAGTACACCAGATAAATAAAATATTTTTCTGATGTTCTGAGGAGAAGAGTTGAAATCTTAACGCAAAAAAAAAAAAACATAAACGTACCTGTCTCGTGTCGTACGTATCCTGCTCCATTGCATTGGCAAAGACTATTCCACTTTCATCAAAGGATTTCTTCTTGATGAAGACGCGAGAGATAGCACTCCACATTCACCACTTTCAACGCACTCGCACGAATTGAGCTTTCAACCTTTTTGGGCAGACGTTCGGTTGACATGACCCGCTCAAGACCAGTGTAAACTGACAGGAGGCCTAGGCCTTAGCTTGCAGGATGAGTAAAATGAAAGGCTAGTAAGTACTTAAGTGGACTATGCCCATAAAAACGGCTTCACAATGAGACGAAATACATTGCAAAGTGGAAAGCAAAAACCAGTCACAGAAAGTACGAAATGCTGGAAAACTCCATGGTCTCATAATAAATAAATCACTTCCATTCACATAATTAACCTTAACACGCACAGTCGTCACCAAGAAAATTTCTGAAACTGAAGTCATGAATCGACGAGGTCGGGTACGTTCCACATTTAGAGTGCCTCACTTTCTGAAAGTCGACTACTCGAAAGCGGTCATATTCAAAAAAGGCTAAAATATTATCAGTTTAGTAGCTTTTCTATTTTTTAGAACATCTTTCAAACACTTTAAACACATTTTTTTCAAAACCATCACTTCATTCATCGAAAGATTGCTTTAAAACGTAAAAGAGCTTTTCACAATGATCGATCTATCGTTTGAAGAGATCTCTGTCATCATCGAGACTAGAAGAAAAACAAAGAGAGGTAGATAGGCCACAAAAATGGAACCTTCTGTCTGTTATTCTGATAAGGTATTAGTCATCGTTATGTGATTGCAGACTCTGTAAGATCGGTTGAATGACAAGAAGTGTTAAAGAACACTCAAAGCTGTCCTTCAAGTCAAAATTTTAAGCTCAAGACTATCTTAACCACCATGTTCGGCCTCTTTGGATCTTCATCTTCGCCGTTCGATCCTGACGTTGGTGAGTTGGTCACAAGTTTTGCTATGTAATTTGTGCCATATTTTTGTTTTTGTTCCTATCTTCCAAGATCCCCATTAGCTGATCATTATATTTTTTCTCAAATTTTTCGGTGTCTTCTCGGAGGAAGCTGAATTATAAATATTTACCTCTGATTCATGATGATAGGTGACTGTCAGAACGAACTGTCACTTAAGTCATTGAACCTTCTTTGTTTATTGAATGTTCATTAAAACTCCTGTTCTAAAGCTGTCTGTTATCCCATGCTGCCATTCAACTAGGATTATTTTTGTATTTAGCTCAATTGTCATTGTAAATTTCAAAATGGTGCAATGGTTAACCCCGTGGTCCACTTTGTTCTTGTGAAGATTACAATTCTGCTTCCCTTTCCCAAAGATTGCTAAACCCTGACTTTCATCAATTTGTCTGCTTTGTAAACCAAATTAATTTTTTATTGATACTGTTTTTGTTATTTCAGAGAAAGTTACCAATGAAAAGAATACGTCTGAAAAATGGGACGACATAATGAGTGTTTGTGATCGTGCCAGCGTCTCTACTCAGAATGCTAAAGATTGCTTGCGGTCTATTCTGAAAAGGCTTGCACACAATGACCCTCACGTTTGTTTACAAGCCTGCACAGTGAGTATTGGTATATACCCCCTGAAGCCTTTAGTTTTACCTTCTCATTTGGAATTTAATTTTTCTGTTCTACTTTTGCAGCTCCTTGATGCTTGTGTGAAGAATAGCGGACGTGCCTTCCATCTCGAAGTTGCCTCACGAGACTTTGAGCAAGAATATAGAAAACTTATTTTTAAATCCCCTCATTTTCGAGTGTCAGACAAATTGAAAGAGCTCTTACAGAAATGGGCGGAAGGTGAATTCAAATCTGATGCTCAATTAAGCCTCATCCCGGCATTCTATCAAAAGCTCAGAGCTGAAAATGTCGACTTTACCCCACGAGACCCCAAGGTAAAGAAATTACTTCTGTATTTTTATGTTTCATAAATGCTGTTTTGTTTTCTTTTTAAAATAACTTACAACTTAATTCTTTGTTCCTCATGTAGCCCAGATCAGCCACGGTTAATAAAGACCCTAATGTTGCTGCAAGTCAAGAAGAAGAAGATGACTTAGTAAAAGGTAAAAATTTGACCAAGTTGATTTGAATGTATTTTGTCTTTTTTCCACTTTGACAAAAAATTGATTTTTCTTTTTTTTCAGCTATAACACTGTCTTTGAAAGATGTATCAACAAAGTCTCGTACTGAAAGTTTATATCCTTCTACAACTGCAACAAGTTCATCAAATATTCATGGACATGTGACACACAAATTGGAAGCTCGTAAAGTTCGTGCACTTTATGATTTTGAGGCAGCTGAGGACAATGAACTAACATTTAAAGCAGGAGAACTCAGTGAGTTGTCATTATAATTTAGGTGCTGAGTATCACCATGATGAATATCTTTGCTAAAGCACTGTTTTGCGTTTGCAGTTCATGTATTAGATGATTCAGATCATAATTGGTGGAAAGGGTATAACAAACGAGGAGAAGGACTTTTTCCATCAAATTTTGTGACTGCAGATTTGTCTGCAGAGCCTGAAAATTTCAGTAAGTATACTACAAGTTCCAGGGAGTTGTTACAACGTTCCCCACCCCACACAACCATAGCATGTCTTTTAATTGCTTCCCCTTATTTTCTTGCAGAAGAGGAACCACAAAAGAAAGTAGTTCAATTCAGTGAAGAGGTGTCAGTCCAGCTTGCTCCAAGGGATGCAGTTGAAATCAATGAAGAGAAAATAGATAGGTAAGTAATGTCTTGCACTCAATTTTCAAGTCTCAATTTCTTCGCTGTTCACTTAATTAATTTTCATTCTTGTAGGTTGAGGCATCTACTTCATGAGGCTAATCCAGAAGAAGACAGATACGATTCACCTGAAATGTTGGATTTAGAAGGTAAAATGCGTTACATGTGCTCTTAAAGAAAAAGAAATATCTGTAACACTAATGCTTTAATTTTTTGCAGAGCAAGTAAATGCAATGGGGCCTCTCATTGACAATGAATTGGAGCGAGTAGACCGGAAACACGCTCAACTGACTCTACTTAGCTCAGATCTAGTTGAAGCTCTCAACTTGTATCACACTTTAATGCGAGAACCTGGCCCTCAAGCTGTGCCTCCCTATCATCCCATGTCGAAAGGCTTGCCTTACGCATACCAACCACCCATGCCTCATGCTCAACCCCACGTAAGTATTCACGAATTTGTTATGTCTATTTGCCGTTGTGCATTCAAATCGGAATGGCCACTCGAACTCAACTGCTCTCATGTTTTAAATTTCCTTTGTTTTTTTGTTCTTCTAATAGATGTACAATGGGAGTCCACATGGTGCTCCAGGCTACAGTTTACCACCTGACCAGTTTGGAATGCAGCCAACATCAGGTCCTGTGTCCATGCCACAGATGCCCTCTTACAGTATGACTCCGAGAGGACCTGGGGGTCCTGAGAGTATGCCTTATCATGGAGGGTATGTTTGACAGCATGCTTGTGAATGTAGAGATCTGTCTGTTGAGGCTGTCGATTTCTTATCTTACCATGGATTCTGTTATTTCAGGCCAATGTTCTCCGTTGGTGGTATGGTTGGCTATGGCTCCCCTCAGTACATGCCTCAGGGGCCAGGTGGTCCAGCTTCTCAAGTTCCTCCTCAAGGGCCTCCACAGGGGCCTCCACAGGGGCCTCCACAGGGGCCTCCACATGGACCCCCACATGGACCCCCTCAAGGACCCCCTCAAGGACCCCCTCAAGGACCTCAGCAAGGCCCCCCACAAGGTCCCCCGCAAGGTCCCCCCCAGGTCCAACAGCAGCCCCCTCCACCTGGAGTGTACTCTCCACCCAGTCAGCAGCTCCTGTAAACCTTCTTTGTGAGAGGTGTGATGTAAACTCGGTTGGTGGGTTGGTACAGTTAATACCTGTAGTCACCAATATTTGTACCCAGCTGGGGAATAGGTGTTGATGTCTTAGACACGAGGAGTCAGAACAAAGTAAATTATTATGTTACAAATTCTTATCAGCTTTGTAGTGTTTTATATTATATGTAACAGAAGACCCGGTAAAGAAAACCCACAGAATAATTGCTAATTTTGTCTGGTATTTAGCTTTTTTTTATTCAAATTCTATCCATATAAAAAATTCTGTATATTGCATTTGAGTGTCATCTCTTTTCTTTTATATCTTAAAAGAAAACAAGTTGAGAGTTGTGTAAGCTCTCTGCCAACTGTGATGTTACTTACCACTCATTCAATTGGTCATGAAGAATGATTGTGTAAGCAGGTGCAAAGGGTAGTCCTGGTGGCTGCTTGTGTGCTATCTTCAGAAATGATATGAACTTTAAGGTATTGTGGATATGTTGCTGTATTACTCATAAGCTGTGCTCAGTTAGATTGCAACAGTGCCGTACCATTGTGCTGAATGATTTTTTGCCTAAGCTCCTGATGACCACGATGAAATTTCTATTAAAACTTTATTTGTTGTTTTATCTTTATTTTATTATGTTATGTCAAGATTTAATTTTTCTTGCAAAATTGTCATTACATGGATAAATATTTTTAGAATATGTCATTACTATTCACCAAGGGAATTTGCTGTATAAAGGAAAAGAAGTGAAATGTGTTTCTTGCTAGTGATTTCCTGGAGATGCTAATCGTTTTTCCCACCCTTCAATTTTCATGAAAAATACTATTTGCTAGTACTTTTGATGGTGATTACTTTCCCAGCTTAGTTTTATTTGTTTGAACTCACAAAATATTGATTTGCTACCCTCTGACCACCAATTGTGGAAGTCTGACCATTCCAAATTTTTTTAATTGTATGCACTTCTTTTTTCAGAACAGTATATTTCGCTTCAGTTTTGAACATGTTACCGGATTGAAATAAAACTATTAAATGAATATTTTAGACAAATTTCCATGTCGTTCATTTCAGTCTGTCAAGTTATAATCAAGGAGGGACTCAGCAGATGTTTCTCAATTATCCTTCTCGCTACAATTCCTATGAGGCTGATTCTAGTAAAACAATGGGTATGCATTAAGTTGCATCTGGGTCTTAGAAAATGGCACAAGCTTCTGTTTGAGCAGATAAAAATGGATTGTGCGGTTAGTTTTTGTATGCATCAGCATTTCAGGGAATTTTCAGTGTATTTGAGGGACTGATCAATCAATCACTGTACTATTTGTAATATAATATTTTAATATAATATTGTTTGTACATTGTGCTTCATTACATCATAGCTAACCTTGTCCGAACAAAACCACCACAACACAAGGTCACAAACTTAGGCTGAATTTATACTTCAATTTAGCTGAAATTTCAAAAAAAGGATGCTACTTGATTAAGTACAATGAGGACACAATTGGAATTTCCTACCAGTAACTTAAAGGTTTCGGCAACCTTCAACAGTTTATTTGCCAACCACTGCTGCTTTAAACATCGACAGAACACACATAAAGTCAGTTTCTCCAGGGGAACAAAAAGTTTAAATCTAATGAGTTTGTAAAATATTGGAGCAATTTGAGAGGTACTCAAAAATTTTGCACAGCAGGTTATGGCCAAGTATTGAAAACTAAAAAAAACCAACATACTAGTATATTAACTTAGCATTGCACAAATGACAAACACATCAAACTGATGGTTATTCTCTGAATGGCACATAATCTGCTTTACATTTACATGTTAGTTAATACCAATATTTAGAAATATCACAGTATTTCAGTCGTGATTGTCTAATCCTTGTTTTAAGGTCACACCACACCACATACCTCTTCAATTAATCCAGTTTTTCACAAACTTGTAATTGTTGACATTTAAAAAAAAAATGAGCCATCTGATGCTCAGTAAATGAGTCTTTTCACTGCACAAGCTAGCAGAAACCTATGGATATCTTAACGCTACAGTATCATGAGACAATAGTTTAAATGTGAAATTTATCTTTGAAAATTACACTATGTATGATCAAATTTGTCAATTATTTGTAAACTTGTTACAGATTAGGAGACTGCAGAGAAAGAGGGACACAAATCAGGTCATTTACACATGTACCAATTTTTAAAGTTAGGGAGACAAAAGTCTAGCTAGTATTACAAGGCCATATTTCGACCTTCAATAGAAATTTGCACCGCTCGTCGTACTTGTTTAGCTCGTTTTGCATCAATGAAAGTCTTGTAATGTTTTTCAAATTTGGTCATCTGCTTCTTGGAAGTCTGTGAACCAAAGCAAGAACATTATGAGAAATAAAGTACAGTAAAATAGATAAGGTACCAAAATGTAAGAAGACAAAAATAATCACTTACCCTACTCATATCAACATCTGTTTTCCACTTTGGCCGATTAACATACTCCTTATTTGATGGCATTGGAACACGGGCACGGGACACCCATCCTTTATCACCTGGTCTTAGGGCATCCCTATTGAAAACAAAACAGAAATCAATTAAGAATGTTTCACATTAGGTAGGAAGTGAAATATTACCAATGACCAAGTTCTCCCACCTTCCATCAGCAGTAAGAGCTTTGCCAAGTTCTCGAGGTGCTTGCTCTTCTCTATCTTCATCTGATCCCCGTCTCCTCTTGGGTAATTGCTCAAGATCACGTTGCATCCTTTCCTCACGGCTAAGGGCTGAAATTTTAGATAAATATGACTTTATAAGCAATGCAACGTCATGGCAAGGTCTTAAGATACTGAACAGGTATGTAGTACATACATTGGAAGTCAGTAGAAACGTTGAAAATTGGACGAGCCCATTCGCTTATAAGCCGGCCTGCCTTGTCTTTATTTTCTTTAGTTTCCTTAGGATGCTTGTAGAGATACATCACTGCTTTACCAATCCCAGACTGCTTTAGTGATGATTGATCAATTCGGGGAAACTGTGGGGAAAAATTAAACAATTAATGAAGTGTTACAAAACGAAGACATGGTAGGAGATAGAGAACTTACTTCTCTCAATAGTCTCAGAATATTCTCCCGGATTCTCAAAGACGGTAAACTACGATCTGGCATAGGAGCAAGCCAATCTGTTAAGACAGAGAGGACGTTGTGCTCAATGAACGCCAACTGAAGGTCATGCTTTCTTAATTGAGACATAACTTTCGGAAGCATAGCAATTTTATTGGTGGCAGGTTTATTTTGCTGGTTAAAACGGCGATCCTCCTGTAAATACACAAAAATCAGACATATTAGATGTATATCAGACTAAATTGAGACTGACTTAGAATTGTAATCTATAATGCTTACATCAGCTGCATTTTTCATGTCAGCCAAAAGTTGTGCTATTATATCATCATTATCGTTAATAATATCAATGTCTTTTCTCTTTCGCTTCTTCTTTTCCTCTTTCTTTCGTTGAAGCATAACATCAAAATCAGACAAACCAGTGTCGCTAAAAGAAACCAAAATATGAAATTTACAAAAAAATTGGCCAAATAAAAGGATTTTTAAGAGGAATAATGCATGCTTAACTCACTCTCTGGATGGTCCCTCATCAGAATCATCACCAGCATCTGCAGGAGGTGCAGCCTCCGCATTTTCTTCTACTTTCCCCTCATCGCCACTAGCTCCACCCTCACCAGCAGCCCCTCCCTCATCACCAGACCCTTTCGATTTCTTCGGCTCCTAAGAATGAGTTCAAGATTAAAATTTTTCATAAATTATGTGACATATACATAATGTTGTAAAGCTTCTCTTACCCCTCCTTCGCCATCTGAATCTGAAAGTGCATCTCGAGCAGGCCTTTTTTTAGCTTTACTGCCACTCTCTATGTCACTTCCACTACGACTGCCACTGCGGCTTCTGCTTCTGCTCTTGCTCCGACTGCGACTTCTGCTCCTGCTCCTGCTGTGACTTCTACTTCTGCTGCCGCTATGACTCCTGCTTCTGCTGCGGCTCCCACTTCCGCTCCTACTCCTGCTGCGGCGCCGGCTTCCGCTGCGACTCCGACTCCGGCTCCGGCTTCCACTTCCACTCCTGCTACCACTTCTGCTTCTGCTTCCAGATCGGCTACGGCTACGACTTCGTCTCCTGAAACAAACCAAATTTTAGGAGAAGGGAACTGATTGTATAGGGATCAACAAATGGGCAATGGAAAGAAAGGAATACATACGAGGACTTCCCATCCTCTCCTTCAGAATCTGAAAGAACTGCACGCTTCTTTTTCTTTCGGCCTCGACTGGAATCAGACTTTTGGCCTTCATCTTCTGAATCAGATGCAATACCTTGGGAAGGTTTCTTTTTCTTTCTTTTCACTTTACGCTCTGAGCCACTGCCTGCATCAGAGGCACCCCCACTTTCACTCTCAGCATCACTTCCTTTCTGAGAACCTTTCTTGGGCTTGGCTGGGGAAAAATTGTAGAGATGAGAATAAACATACACATCAACGACAAGTACATAGGGGACAGCAGTTCAATGAGACTTACATTTTTCTGGATCTGATTCACTATCCACAACAGATCTCCTTTCCTCCACCTCAGAAGGACTTCTAGACCTTGATTTAGATTTAGATCTGGACCTAGATCGAGACCTTGAGCGGGATCTGGATGCTCTGGATGCGCGAGCAGCTGAGCCAGATCTGGATCTAGAGCGCGAGCCCGATTTGGACCGAGAACGCGACCGAGACCGCGACCTTGACACAGATCTAGAGCCAGACCTCGATCTCGAACGAGATTTCGCACTTGATCTTGAACGAGACCGGGAGCGTCTTGAACCAGAACGAGACCTTGACCGCGAGCCAGATCTAGATCGGACGGACCCTGATGCTCTGGATCCAGACTTTGATCTTGAACGAGACCGCGATCTAGACCTGGACTTTTCTCGAGGCACAGACCCAGCTCTTGAACCTGACTTGGACCTAAAATGTAAGAAAAAAAAAAACAGAAATATTTTAACATTTGATTGAGTCAAATTAAAATACACGAAAATTACTTTTGCTTAAGCAATAAACTCCACATGATCAATACATACCTTGATCGTGACCTTGACCCTCTCGACCCGGACGCTGCTCGCGAACCAGGCCTTGAAGCAGATGAGGAGCGAGAACGGGAGCGTGATCTGGAGGCATTTCTGGACCCAGCATTCGGAGATCCTGCTCGTGATCCAGTTGGTGATCCCGCGGGTGATCCGGCAGGTGACCCAGCAGGAGATCCAGCAGGTGATCCAGCAGGCGATTCTGCTGGTGACCTCGCTGGTGATCCAGGTGGTGATGGAGACCCAGACTTTCTTGACGGCGACCTGGAGCCAGACTTAGATCTGGAACGGGACCTTGGCCTTGAGGCAGGTGACCCTGATGCAGAACGCCTTTCAGACGAAACTGATCTTGATCTGGATTTCCTTGACCTGGATGATCTTCCAGACTTATTGCTTCCTACAGATTTTGCAGACTCGTTGTCACTTTCATGAGCATTTGCCACTGGGCTTGAAGGGGTTTCATCTGTGAACAAAATCAAACAGATGCAGGCAAATTTAATCGGAAACCTTCAGAAGTCAAAGCTGACCTCACACAAGAAATGCATCAGTAAAATATTTCATTCGAAACAACACTTAAGACAGATGGCGACTCAAAGGAAGGAAAAATTAGAAGACTTTCAGTGACACATTTCACAACAACAATCAGCTGTTCTCCTACAAACTTTCTCCTTTAACAGTGAAACATTTGTCAGTATGAGTATCCTAGATTGAGGTACATGATTCCAAGTATACTTAACGGTACACAAAAATTGATTAGAAAACATTCTTTCACAGAAATCGAGATGTTTACCAACTATTGAGCGTTTAAAAGTCAACATAACCTGCGAACGAACCCAGAATTCGTACGTCGATAAGAATATAGAGGAGGGTTTAACACAATCAATTAAGAGATTTGAGTGCCTTGGGCTAAATGTCAGCGTAAAAATGCAGAGGTAACGCAATGCATGAGGATTTCGAATGAATAACACAACTGCACCATACGGTGTGCTGATCTGTTAACACATACCTTGCTCCATTGTGTTCCTAGGTGGAATACTTTGATGACTTCGTCAAGCTTACGCCACCAGCGCAGCAAAATTTTGGTGGAACAAACACACCAGCGTTAAAACGGATTTAAGCAAACAGGCTGAACGCAATGGTTAAAACTGACGGGTGAACATGACATGAAATCCCAAGACGCCGCCGCCGCTGCCGCCGCTCCGGCAAACTCCGACTCCGGAACGGAGTATGGCAAATTTAACGTAACTTACTTGTTGTTTTTGAAGCACCGAAAATCTCACATGTGGTATATTTTTTAATGTGCTAGTCTCTTCTACGTGGTATTGTCACATCAGCATACCACCGTTATCAATTTTTCCAAAATACGACTGTCCTGCGGAAAATTTAACCCCCATCCCCACTGTTTCCTTAGTGAAAGGAGCTTTCATAGACACCTCACCGAAGGGTTAGTATCAACTTATAAATATACACTTTATTGAAGTTTTGCCCTGTTCTTTTCTTTACTGAAGAAATCTTACCCCTTACAACTAAATGTCAAAAAATGTCTACTAATCAAGTTTGTCATGAGTAATTTACATTCCAGTTGCTACTGAAATCGACAAACATGCGTTCTGACATATTTTTTCCTGGGGACTCAGTTCTTTTACTTGGGGAAGGAAATTTTTCTTTCTCTGTAGGTTTATTAAACCTTGGAAAAGAGATTGAAATAACTGCCACATGCTATGAGTCTGTTCTCACTGAAACTCAAATTGAAAACACAGATATCCTAAAGTCTCGTGGTAAGTTGCTCAGTAACCTGCGTAAATTTTCAATTTTTTTGACATCTTAATTGTTAAGCTCTCTGCGAGACTATGTCACCCATTATTATTGTTTCAGGAGTGTGCGTTATGACAGGAATCGATGCAACCAAAATTCACGTTCACTCTGTACTTCAATCAAAGAAATTTGACAAGATCATCTTCAACTTTCCTCATACGGGAGGAAAGATGAAAATTAATTTAAATAGAGATCTTCTTCGTCAGTTCTTTATAAGTGCCTCAAATCTCTTGTCTGTTCCAACTGGTGTCATTTTAATTTCTTTATGCAGTGGGCAAGGAGCTGACTATTTGGGAAAAAGAACATGGACAGACTCTTGGCAGGTGGTTGACATGGCAGGTCATGCTAATTTGCTTCTGGTAGAGTGCTCACCATTTCAGTGGTCTTTGTACCCTATGTATAGTAATGTTGGATATCGAAGCCTTGAAAAAGGATTTCACACAAAAGATGCTATGGTTCATACATTTGTACCTGTTAAAAAATGTCTGGGAGACCAACTAGAAGTAGTTACGAGCTACTATCAAAATGGGGCCATTGACTCTGTTGCTTCTAGGCCTCTATTTGCCAGGAAAATTAAGCAAAACATCCTGGAAAATAGAGCATCTCCCTCGTATTTTATTCTAGAAAAACTTCAGATATTTGCAAGACTTCAATCCAAGTCCATTGTTCATCATGTAGGTGTTAGCCCGTTAAATGGAAGATTTCAAGAAAGAGACATAACTCTAGCTTCTCAGCTTTGGAAAAACTCGAAGTGTGACTTTTATTTGTACTCTTGCTATGTGCTAAATGGTGATTTAAAAGAATTTAGTGAAGCACCAATTGCCATACAAACATTATGCTTAGGAAATGGAGTTGTTAACATGTTCTTATCCTCTATGACCAGTTTACTGGCAGATTTCAATGTAACAAATTGTCAAAAGAGTGTGAAAGATTGCAGTCTAAATGCTGCAGGGCCCAAGCAATTTTTTCTTGTACAATGTGACAAACCTGATGTACTTATAGCAGAACTCTATCCAAGCTGTTGTGATAGCGAGCCTGTACTTTCTATATTTATTGATGCATTAGTGACTCAACTCCTCTCTCTTAAAAGTTGGAGACAAATGTGGGCGGATTGTGTTCACAGTGATTTTAACTGTAGGAATTCCTCTATTACTGGAATTTGTCCTTACCCAGTGCCCTATACATTTGATATATCATTTATTATAGGGGAACATTTTACAGAGGAAAAATTATATTGTGTTTTATGGGATCTTGCAGGGGAGTTTTTAATCAATGTATTCAAAGTCAGTGAATTCACTACTTCTAATGAAACCAGTATGTGTTTTAGGCTAACTTATCTATCTTATGAACACCCAATGAGCAGGAAAACTGTCTTGGATTTTCATCAAAATATTCTTGGCAAAGCACTCAAAACTATTTTAAGTGTTTGTATTAAATAAAATCTCTCTGTTTTGCTTTCATTTTCTTGTGAATATATTTCACAGTCCTGCCCCTTCAACATTTCAAAAGAATCCTAGATTATATTGTTTTAAAATTGGGATAACTTCTTTGCAGAGTCATGTTTATTCAGAGAATAGTATTGTGGTCATGCTGTCAGGGACCTCCAAAGAGTCTCCGCCTTTTGTCTACTGCTCTTCCTGCTCAACCACTTCGTCCCAAAAAGGGAAAATCCTTTAAAAACATGGTAAAATTGCAAACAATCATATTTCCTCTTCCATCTTGTGTTATGAGGTAAATTTTTCAAACTGATACTGAACTCCATACTGGTTGTTACAGGCAAAAAGTATGGTGGATTATAAACGTGTTGTGGCTATAGGAGGAAATGGTGGTGAAGGCTGCATCTCTCTTTTAAGACTTTGGGCTAATGAATTTGCCGGACCTGATGGTGGGGATGGTGGCTCTGGTGGTCATGTTGTTTTTCATGTTTGTATTGTTTAAAAATAAACTTATATTTTTTTAAGAGTCATAGATTTCCTAATGTTTGACTGGTAATAATTTATGTTGTGCAGTCAACTCGTGAAGTACGGGATTTATCACATATTCCACCAACGGTTAAGGCTGATAATGGAGAGCCTGGTCAAAACAAAAATTGCTTTGGTAAAAACGCAAAGCATACAATTGTAAAGGTTGTTTTACTGTAATTTTAATTTGGTTAAACCACTCCTAACTTATCTTTATTTTCTCTTTCAAAACCTGTTGTTTTGTTCTCTTGGTGCACAGGTTCCCATTGGAACAGTATTAAAAAATGCTGATGGGAAGGTTGTCGGTGATATGGAATTGGAAGACACTTTATTTGTGGCTGCTCGTGGAGGTGCTGGAGGCCATGGCAACTATTATTTCAGAACTGATGTCAACCAAACGCCTCAAATAGCTGAATATGGTGGTGAAGGAGAAACTAATGATTATTTCCTGGAAATGCGCAGTATGGCTGATATAGGTCTTGTAAGATAGCTTTACTTTCTCCAAACTCACAAAGAGTTTCTCTATAACAAAATGATATTTTTTAATTCATGTGGTCTTTTAATTGTCAGATTGGCTTTCCCAATGCTGGAAAAAGCACTTTGCTACAAGCTATATCAAGAGCAAAACCTAAAGTAGCCCCATACCCCTTTACTACATTAAGACCATATGTTGGAATGGTTCAATATAGTGATTTTACTCAATTAGCTGGTAAGTTGACAAGGATGTTCTGAAATTTGTGTCTAAACTGGAGAAAAATTTGATTTGACTTTTGTTGCAGTTGCAGATTTGCCTGGACTTGTTGTGGACTCTCACAAAAACAAGGGCCTTGGCATAGGCTTCTTGCGACATGCTGAACGTTGTAGTACACTGGCTATGGTTCTGGATCTTTCAGAACCCGAACCATGGAACCAATTGGAAGCACTGAGACATGAGTTACGGCAGTTTAGCCCAGAGCTCGCAGATAGGCCTCAACTCATAATAGCCAACAAAATTGATCTACCAGATTCAAAGGTAAAGTATGCTTGTCTCATTTCTTAGGAAAAGAAAGATTTTGTAAGTTCATAAATTTTGCTTTTGTTGCAGAAAAATTTGCAAGCTCTTTTGTGGAAGCTTGATGCTAAAATAATTCCTATATCTGGAAAAACAGGAGAAAATTTAAGCACATTACTTGAACTGTTAAGAGAAATGCATATTGAATATGAAAAAACTAAGGAGGCTAGTACAGAAGAACAAAAGAATTCGGCCTAAATTGCTGTATGTATGAGTGGATTCGGCAAAGGATGATAAAATAAAAGAAGCTGCTGTTGGGTTACTTTTTTAAAAAAAGATCGATTTATGAATCATTGATTATGTCACAAACATTTGACCTTATTAACAGTGAAATTGCACACATACAAATGTCACTGAAAAAGAAAGGAAGAAAAAAAAGGGACAGAGTTTATTGATAACAAACTTTCCTCCAAGCCAGTTCCGGTAAACAAAATATAGTGCTGTCCAGCTAGGATGGAATGATATTAGAATACATGTGACTATTCAACAATTTCCACACAATGGAAACATAAAAACCAGTAACATCACAAATATATACATAATTGTGGAAAAACAACATTTCCCGCTGCAGTGCTTTAAAGGAATTGCACAATTCACAGCCAATTCCACATCACAAGAAGCACATCTATGTGTGGGAAAAAAAATGACACAATAAAAACCGGTTTGATATACCCAAATGTAGGGAATATCTTTGACACACAAGACTAAAACACTTGTGCGCCCAAGCATAAGAAAATATGGTAATGGTAACACCAAAAGTATCCAGTCTTTAACGACCAGGTATTCAAGTCATCTCTGATCTTACACACTATTAGAACCCCCAACCATAGCTTGGTCTAATGTAAAGAACAGCACAGCTGTCAGATGATGGGATGAAGGCACGAATGCACTAGACTTTTCACAGTTTTAGTTCATATGGTTTTCTTCTTCTTCAGACACCCCTTCTGGTCGGCACTAATAACTGCGAAGCAGTAATTGTGTCGGGGAAGAGATTGTGGTAATTCACCAAAGGTACATACGCTGCAGTAATCATTCGTCCTGAAATGGAGACAGAGCCACCAATTAGAAATGAAATATATTTAACATGAAAACCAGACCATTCTCTAAATATAATGTACAGTATTAATGAATTAATAGAATGTGTACCTGCAAACCATCTTCCATGAAGGGAATTTACAGCAGCAACAGCTGTGGCAATCGTCGGACATTTAACATACACATTGCCAGTTGGTGAAGCTTTGTCAACATAAACATGCAGGACCCCTCCATGCTTGTTGCATTCGTCAATCACATCATCCCGAATTTCTGTGTCCCAGCTTGGATTGGTTTCCCTGTAATAAACAAGTTGATTTTCCATGTCAGTTGGTTGGTAACAGTTATAGATTCAACAGAAATTTCTTTGAGGTTTCACTTACGTTGCTGGATCAAACATATTTGCTAGCATAAAGCATTGAGTGGCTATGGGAGGGGCAGGTTGCGCTGTCGCAATAGGGACACCTGTTGTTGTATTCAGGTTGAGAGCAGCTGCAGCTGGAGCAGGAATTTGGAGGCCAGTTCCTGCAGGGAAAGACAAAAGTCAAGGTTTAGATCACAACTCTACATTGGAATTGTTCTTAGAATTGGTTTAGAATTGATCTTACCTTCAGCAAGTTTGTACATGAGTTGTAATCGACCAGTAGCACCCAGATCAATACCAGTGCGATCTAATTCATCCGTATCCAGAATTGAAGGGCCCTGAGCATTTTCAGTCCTTTCTGTGACATTTCCAACCTTCATAGGCCGCCCAGCTAGCTCAAAGCCATTTAATTGTTCCAGTGCTTTCTTGGCATCCTCTGAATTGTGGAACTGAAAAAGATAAGGTGTATAAGGTAAAGAGTGATATACTGGACACATGAGGTAAAGAATCAAAAACCATAAAATGAACTTACAGTTAAGAAGCCGTATCCTTTTGAACGACCAGTTTCTGCATCCATGATGAGCTGAATGTTGTCAATCTTTCCAAATGGCTCAAAAATTCCCCTAAGCATGTCTTCAGTGATGTTAAAATGCAATGACCCTACATAGAGTCTCATGGGCCCAGGTGTTCCTTTAGGCTGAAGATTGGGCATTGAGTTTCCAGCACGGTTCTTTTCAGCCTGTGTTGGTTGGACAATGATAGGGACACCAAGAAGTTTCTGACCTGCCAACCCCATAGCCTGCAAAAGAGAATTGAGTAGTATTTAGAAGTCATGTTTCATCATTGAAAACTATCTTGCACTTTGGAAAACTGTAGAAGAGGACTTACCAGAGTTACAGATTCAGGATCTTTAAATTCTACATAAGCAATGCCCTTGAAGCGTCTTGTTTTGTTACATTTGATGAGTCGCACATCTCGCACCTAAAAATATGAGAATATAATCATAGAAAAAGGCAGAATCATCACAAAAGACTATCGTAAATCAATGAATGTTTTGAGGCTCACCTTTCCAACAGACGAGAAAAACTCTTCAAGATCTCTGGCTCTAATTCTTTGGGATAACTGCATGCAAAAGACTGTGCGCATATCACGCTCTTCAGGCGTGAGCTCATCTGGCTTTCCAAGGAGTGTAGGTGGACTCCTGTCAAGACCTTTTCTTTTTCCACTGCCGCCGCCGCCACCGCCGCCACCACCACCGCCGCCACTACCCCTGGAAAACACGGAAAACAACCTTTAAGGAGAAAATACAAATTGAGCAAACAAGATTGTTGGACGCCAAGACAGGGCAACCGTCAGGGCAACCTCCCGGGCAACCCACCTCTCCCGGCGGGGCAGCAGCAGGGGCGTCAGCGAGCGCTTGCGGCGACGCTCGCGGCTGCGGCTGCCACTGCCGCTGCGATGCTTGCGGTCTCGGCTGCGACTGCGGTGCTTTCCGTCCCGGCTGCGGCTGCGATGCTTCCGATCACGATCCCTGCCGCGATCCCGGCCGCCGTCCCCACCGCGAGCGCTGACACGGTCCCCGCCACGATCCCCGCTACGATCCCGCTTCTTGTCTCTCTCTCGCTCTCGCTCTCCTCGGTCTCGCTCCTTCTCCTTCTTGTCGCGGGACCGGCTGCGGCTTCTTCTCTTGCTTTTCCTGCGACACACAAACAAGTTAGGCGACGGAGAAACCAAAAAGGATTCACACTGCTTCAAGAAACAAAAAAAAAAAAGGAGCAGGTAATGCATGCTTACTTGCTTTCCGACGTCCCATTTTCTCTTGAGATCTTGGTAATTGGCCCATCTTCCTATAGACACACCACACAGTTGATAATCCACAGCAACCAGAGGTGGAAGGGTTGAAGTTGAAGGGAACAAGAAGAAAAGCACAAAACAAAAATTAGCAACGGTACTATAACTGGTGTTCGTGGCAGATGCCACATTCAATTCATCTCTACGGCAGACCAAATGGCCTGCCCCCGCCCACATATCACCTGCTCCTATCAGTTCCGCAGTTTCCAAGCATGGCTAATAGTGAGGTTGAGAAACCTGCGCATCATGCTTTTTCCACCCTTGTCATGACGTCGCCTCCATCCTTGCCTTCCCCCAACACTTACCTAGGTTCAGTTAACTCGCGTTCCACAGCTTGGCCAAATACAGAACTGAACCACATCGCTTACTTCTGCAAAGATACAGCCTCATCAAACAACCGTTCCAAATAAACCAGCTACTTTTGAAAAATTCCCTACAGTTAAATTTGAAAATTATATAAAGGCCAATCTGTCGCATTAATTTGAAAAATGATGAAATTTCAGAGATATTCTGCTGATTAAAATGTACCAGTCCCAGTTTTAATTCCCTAGTCTTTGGGAATCTCACATCCGTCCACTCAAACATAGACTAAAGACCCAACACGATTGCACAGTGCCCTCAAAATTTGTAGCAAGGAAGCTGAAAAAAGAAACAACATTACAAAGCCTGTCAGAAATATTTGTGTAACTCAAATGATCAGGGGTAGGTTTAACCAGCAAGTTATGAAAAAAAAGGTAAAAACTGGAGCAAAGGAAAGATGCTAGAAATTATTTAAGATGTTTAAATTTTGAAAGTACAATGTTTGAAAACTTAGCTTGCTGATTCAAAACTAGCAATGCTCATTATAAAAGTTACCACAACAAAAACATCAGACGGGCTTTAATGTAGATAAATCACTACGACGAATGTAATTAGTAACGCTACATCAGTGAAAATCTGGGGCGTGGACTATTTGAATCCTGAAGATGAGGCACTCCAAGCTCTCTTCGTGTGCCTTAATCCTTGGAGCCATTGCCTGCCAGTGCAGTTAGATGGGACCCTGGGGTGACACAGAAGGGGACACATTCAGTAGTTTGCATGGAGCTGTACTTAAAGATACAACAGTTTTTCCTACTCCCCTACCCATTTCCTTGGTTCCAAGAGAAAGGAAATGAGTAAACATGACAAAAGTGATGCTTTTGTAAACATCAAATGGTAAAAATAAAATTAGAGTGCTTCAATTAATGAACATGTCTATTTCGCAGAGTTATAGATTTGGAGAGACGTGTGATACAGGTGGAGTGAGATTTAGTTTAAATTCTACTTAAAACTATTAATGCCTGCTTACTGCTTGCATTGATGTTTCAAAGTCATTTTTGGTGACACTTGCCATCTTTCATTCAACTAAATTCTTGTCTAAGCAACAATTACTAAAAAAATTTGCATATTAACTATTTATATCAAAATTTGAAAGATACAGATATTAGATTCCACTCCAAAAATTATATCTTCAACAGAGAAGAATTAAAAGGAGGTTCAATCAAAAATTTCTCCACTGCTGATCATGAATTGGGCTTTTATGAAAAGTGGCATTGCTGCTATGAAAAGAGGCTTGGCAATAATCCAAGAGTCACATGTACAATAAGGATTTTTTTTTACTGTTGTCCAATCATCACAACAGTTTAAAATGACATGTCCATGGTTGCTAGGTAAGAATACAACAAGCATTACTCACGCATACAACAGATAGGTATGGTAGGTATAAAGTATATCATTACCTATAAAATTTGTACTACCTCAGTCGTATGTGCTCCCGGACTTGGGCTCAGCATAGAGCAACAAGCAGTGACATAATGGTCTACAAGATACAGAAAATAGGAAGAGGCTTAGTCAGATGTGCAGTCACAAACAGGTCCAACAGTTTTATGATGCCCTGAGAACCACCTACCAAGCCTATCAACAACTTAACCACTCTCCTGTTGATGTTTAAAGATATCTGACACACTGACAGTATGATTTAAACAAAAACAACACAAAGTTTACGAAATTTGATTGCCACAAATGAAATCACTCCACGGTGATATATTGTTAGAAGTTAATAATAATGAAATTGACTCAAAGCGACCCAACAAGATGAAATTAGGTGAATAGGTTTAAACCTAACATTTTATCAGTCAATTAGCTAGACGACTCACAAATCAACAGGCATAAATCATGCTTACTTTTCCCATCAACAAATTTTAAAGCACGACTCCATAAACATTGTATATCATTAATTCAGTAGAGAAGAAAAAAGTTCAACTTACTCCTTTTTTGTAGGGCGCCTCCAGCATAGCCTCCACGTCGAAATCCTCTGCCATTTCTGAAACTAAGGAAAGGTGAGGTTAGGTCATTTGCTGAAGTGCAACCATGAAGTGGACGAAAATAATTGGTAGCAAGGTCACTGGGCATGGAGAACTGCTGCCATAGCAGAACAATGCAGGAATCCAATAAAAAATTAGAGAACGAAAAATTTACACAAATAGCACAAGCTTTTAAAAAACTAATCCTAAATTTACATTGCAACAGAAAGGCAAACCAGACAACTTGCGACAGCGATAAGTGAACGATAACATTCCGTATTGCGTATCATGCGAAGACGGAAGGATATGAACTTTAAACAATAATTCCAGCGAGAAACAGTAACGCAAAAGTGTTTTAAAATTGACATACCTCTCCTAGTTTCCTTCAGTTTGGATGAAGATGGCAAAAGTTTCAGAGTGGGAACAGGATCTGGGCAGCGATGGTCCTCGGCTGCCTACAGCAATTTCCAACACAAAACAGCAGTTTAAACAAGCTCTTCTCAAAAAATACCAATTGTGCAAAATTGTAGTAGGTATTTGTTCAAAGAGGACTTCTTGAGCGAACTTTTAACGCTCGGGAGGCCAAAATTCTTGCGCGGGTACAGATAACTAGCAAACAATGCTTCCAGAAAATGGCTGCCACTCACAAATGGCGTCATCGGAACCATCGGAAACGAAGTATAGACTATGTGAGTCGTTGAACAATAAATAGCATGTAACGCAATAGTCGCCTGTACACTTTTTTTAAAAAGAAGGTTGAAAATAATTAAAGGTACGCAAAACACTTATGTCCAGTTGGTCGTGTGTTGTGGGGCGAAATTGTGGCAAGCGAAGCGTTTGACACACTCAGCTGACCAGCGTATTGACCGGAAACTCTCGGAACGCGGAACCTTCAAGAGGGCGCGCCACCCCGGCATCCCGTAGCCCTGACAACGGGGCTTTACAACAACACGGAAAATGGGGCTCTGTGTTCAATCAAACCCATCATCATTGATCACGGGTGATTTTTTGAAACCGAAGCTTTTATTGCACATGTCATGGTGCAATAAAGAGAGCAGTTGTATCGTTTCTTTCGCCGTATGGTTACTTGACTTGCATGTAGACTCTAAAATGTGAACTACACACTTGAGTTTCCGTAGGTGGGTGGGTAACATGGATGCATGTGAGTTAAACATATCTTTTTACAATTTTGTTAAAACTTTATTAATTTTAATGCCAGAAGGTCTTGCTTAACTGGTTCACTCACATAAAAAGTTTCTAAAAATCGAGATGCAATTTTTTAACAGGGTGCTGGGAACAAACCGCACAGACGGAGACAAACAAAAGCAGTGCCAGTTCTTTGGCGGGCGATGCGCAAATAAAATGGTGAGGAGGAACCCTGACCACGGACAACGTGGAATGGCCTGGCGAGGTCGGGGCGACTGGGGCGTGGCGGGGCGTGGCGTGGCACGTGTGTGTGTTGTCGCGGTCCTGGGCAGGGCACGAGGTCCTCGGATGCCTTCAGGGCCTGCGACGCGCTCCGCCGCTCTATTTCAAGCCGCTGGCGCGTCCTCGCTGTCCTCGCTGTCTGCGCTGTCGTCCTCGCCGCCCCGCTCCCGCTGATGGACAAGGGCCCGAGCATCCGACCGACGCCGCGTCGTGTTGCCCATGTCCTGGGTGCGGCGGGGTGCGGCCGTTGCCGTGCTGGAATATCGAAGGAGACCGTCCCCCCGCCGAGTGGAAGGACGGGGAGCAGGGAGGGGGCACGGCGGGGCGAGCACCACGTACAAAGTACGACGCGACCGAAATAGCGTTTGGAGAATGCAGGGGACTTCCTTCGCCCCTCGGCGTGCCCAGGCGTGCCCTAGGTGCGCTCGTTCGCACTGGGCCATCAATCCAAGGAAGCCGAACCAATCCCTCCCCCTGTCTTTATTTTTATTTGCCTCTTTCCCCTTCCCCTCGGCACTTGTCAGCAGGCCTGCGTGACCCCTCCCCCAATCCCTCCGTGCCTTCGACGACAATTACAGAAGAAAACGTTTCTAACGCAAATAAAGGGCAATTAGGAGGCGTCCTGGTCAGGCAGCTATCGAACGCACCTGTGTGCGAACACACACACACACACACACACACACACACACACACACACACACACACACACACACACACACACACACACACACACACACCTACACTGGGCCCTAATGGCTGCAGTGGTACTGTTTTTCGAATGTGTGTGTGTGCCGTGTGTGAGTGTGTGTGTCACGTCGCACCATGCGACATCGCGTTGCCACTACTTTCTAAATTATTGTGTTCCCTGCCTGTTAACATTCCTCGAGGAGTCTCCCGCTCGTTCGATTCTTGCTTAATTCTCTCTCCTCTCTCTGTCTCTCTCCAGGAGAGCCCGAGGCCTTCCCTCTCTCTCTCCCACTCTTTCGCTCATTGGGCAAACAGTGTGTTGTTGGCGGAGTGCTCAATGTCGGTCGGCCAATAGTTCCAAGGCGAACTAATTTGTTTCGAAAATAATCTTTATTCCTGCGGGAAAAGATGCCAGCAGCAACAACGAGTACGTAGTATAAATAGGGCATGGAGTCAAAGTGCCTTGCGGTGTGTTTTTATTTATGAATCTGATGCGTCCCGCGTTCACATACATTGTGCGTTTACGACTGCAACGTGCATGTGTGAGTGAACGCGCGCTTTCGAGCTGGTGTGTGTGAGTGCGTGGACATGTGTGTGAGTGTGTGAGCGTGTGTGTGTATGTGTGTGGTGTTGTAAGCGTGCCGCTGCAAACAGCCTCATAAAGACCTAACCTCGGCGTCATAAGACTACTAATTCAGGATGACACCACCGCATCAATTCGTGGAGCGCTTTGGCGGGGCGTGGCGAATCTCGTTTGGGACACGTAGAGGAGGGCTCCGACTCTCCACTCTCCTGTCCGCTCGCAGCCTGGGCGCTGGAAATTGGCGGCGTGCTGGAAACGAGAAAACGGGTCGAAAAATGCGACAAGAAAACAAGGAACGCCCCCACCCACACCGCGTGTCTGTGGTCTGTTCACGCGCGGCAGATCATAAATTATGTTCCCCGGCCACCGCCTTTGAAGCGACCCGCTTGATTGAATTGCTGACGCGAAAAGAAAAAGGCTCCCCGGACAAGGCGGTGCCTTCCGCTCCGCGCCCACCGCGCCGAAGTTGCCCTCCCTGCTAGGCTCTCTTGTACCCTTCCAGCGCTTCTCCTACATTGCTCGCCTCCTTTTACGAGGGTATTCTCCCCGCGGGTGCCTCCGCCGTTTTCCTCTCTAAACCGAGCGTTTTATGCGACGCGGGACGCTAGACAGGACTCGATCCGCGTGGATTAGCACCTGAGGAGCCCAGCGAAGCCCTCCGAAGCCCAGCGAAGCTGCCGCCTTGCCGCGCGCTGCTGCGGGCAACTATGTGACCAGGCATGCGACTGACCACGTGACCAATGCCGGTACCCGTCTGCTGCTCGGTCACTCGGCAGCCGCGTTCCGGAGTGGCTGCAGTTCCGGCCTCGGAGGCCGCGGGCCCCTGCCAAGTCGGGGATAGGCAACACTCGGGGCTCCGGTGTTCGGCGGGGCAGTCCACCTCGCAGGCGTTCGTCGCCCGCTCTTACAGAGCGAAACTGACATGTTTTGTAGTCACCATTGAAATTGTCTGTCCATCTGTCCATCTGTCTGTCTGTCTGTCTCTGTCCGTCCGTGTCGCTGTCCGGGCTGCAGCTGCATGGCGTCCGTCAACGTGTGTCTGGTGTTGCGACTCGGCAATCAATATGCTCGGAGCGGGGCACTCCCCCCCCCTTCCCACCCCGCTCACACGTCGGCCGATAACCGTTTGCATTCACACCTCGAGCCACCGATTGTGCAGTTAACGTTAGCGTCAAGCTAGCGTTACACCCAGTCGCACGCGGGTCGCACGCCGCAATGCGTCATGATTACGACACAAACCCTGACGAGGCCTATCAGTCACACACACACACCACACACACACACACACACACACACACGAAAGAAAGTCCTGTGCTGACGTGCGATTGGAAACTTGTGAGCAAAGCCCCTAGCAGTCAAAAGTAGAGAATTGAGACGGCGGCCCTACGCAGCAACTCTTCCGTCCGTCCGGCACTGGTGGCGCGATGAAGCGCCCGGGCTGGCCAAGGCCTATTTAGGGCAGTGCTAGCCAGTGGGTAATTGTGCGGCAATCACTCACCGGGAGTCCCCGGCGCCTCAGCCGCCTCGCCCGCCTCGCCCGCCTCGCCAGGTGCGGAGATAAATCAAACAATGTCTGCAGTGCAGGCCTGTGCGGCGCTTTCGTCGCTCCGTCTCTCTCGCACCCCCTGCGGAACCCGCGGAGCGCCTCGTGCGAGCGAGAGAGACGGAGCGACGACTCTCGGACGCGTTGCCGCTGCAGCCTCTGCCCGGGGGTCCGCCGGGGTTTTAGTTAGTTGACGCGGCCACTATTTCGAACGGGGCAGGGTAGGCAACCGCACCGCTGATGCAACACACGCGGCGGTAATTTGTTGCCAGGTTGGCAACACTTGGATCCCCCGCTTTTTTTTTCATTTTGCCGCGCGACAGGCTGGCCATTCATCACGGCTTTCTTTTCGCCGAACTGCAATAAGTAATTGCCCCTGCGTCGCGGCGTCGCGGCGCGTCGCCATGGCGACCAGAGGAGCGACGGACGCCGCGGTGCCGCCGTCTTCATTTTCCCCGCAGTCCTTTCGCCGCCCGGCATGGGGTCTCTCTCTCTCTCTCTCTCTCTCTCTCTCTCTCTCTCTCTCTCTCTCTCTCTCTCTCTCTCTCTCTCTCTTCGTCCTCCCGGGCTTCATCTAGTCCGTCATCGAGGTCCCCCACCGCGGCGCCGAGCCGTCGCGGTGGCTCCTCCCACCGCCTTACTTCCGGCGTGCCCTGCCTCCTCGCCCGGGGAAACGCGAAGCGTGGCGAAGCGTCCGTGGCGTGGCGCTCCCTGGCGGCGGCCGCGGCAACCCGTCGGCTGAAGCGAGCAAGCAAGCTGAAGTCCGAGTCGCCACCACCGCAGGCCCGGCAGGCCGCCGCCCGGGATGCTGGGCTGCCGCGCGCTGCGCCCCGAGATCGCAATCGAAGCTTGTTTGCATTCAAATTTTATTGGCAAACAATCTTCTCCATCTGCCGCCTGCAGATGCATGCAGGATGTTAATGCGTGATGGAAGTAAACTAGTGCCATTTGAATGAGTGCGACACCGCCATCCGTTTAATGTTAATTGCCGCGCGTAAAAGTAAAAGCCCATCGCGCGTGGACGCGCTGAACTAAGTGGATTTAAGGCGACCAGCCCGACCAGCTGACTGGGCTGGCGTTAATGAGTGCGCCCATGTCACTGGCGTTGAGCTTGGAACCTGGTGGAGCGGGGCCGCTGTAGATTCAGGGAAGGAAACTCAGTCGCAAGGGACGAAAATCCAAGCCAAAATGACCCTCCATCCCTGATGACGACGTTCTTTAAGCACTGGGTGCCCAATTGTGGTCCCAAATCCGGTGCGAGGTTTATGAACGGGCTCAGAGTGCCAGTCTGGTGGAGTCCCGCTCGCGCGCTCCTCGCAAAGAGCCTCGGGCTGACCTCCTCGCACTCTGCCGAGAGAGAAATAGAGAGACAGGGAGAGAGAGGGCAGCCATTTAGCAGTGCTGCCTTCGGCTGCCTGCCCCGCCGTCC